TTTCCCACGCCCCCACACTACTTGCAAACAGCACTTGAAGGGTCCCTTTAAATGCTGCTTGCAAGAAGCGGGGGGGGGAGGGGCTGAACTCCAGTGGCAATTCTCTGCTTGGAATCCAAGTGTGCGGGGCACCTATCCCCAACGTGATCGCATTGGGGATGTCCCCAACCCCTCCAGAAACGCCCTCCGAAGTCCCCCGTCAGCAACGAGGAACCCTAATCAGGTCTCTGAACAGGACGTGATGGACTTTTCAGCTCCCACCAAGGTTCCGTAAGAGTCCCAGGAGAGCCCTGCTGGATCAGACCAAGACCCACCCAGATCTTAGAATCACAGAGCGCTGGAAGGGGACATAGAGGCCATCTAGTCCAACCCCCTGCTCAGTGCAGGATCAGCCGCCCTAGAGCATCCCTGACACCTGTGTGTCCAGCCGCTGCTTAACGACTGCCAGGGAGAGGGAGCTCACCACCTCCCTAGGCAGCTGATTCCACTGTGGCACAACGCTTACTGTTAAAAAGTGTTCCATAATATCCAGGTGGTACTTTCCCGCCCTTAATTTAAACCCATTCTTGTGTGTCCTCTCCTGTGCCGCCCACAGGAACAGCTCCCTGCCCTCCTCTAAGTGACAGCCCTTCAGATACTTCAAGACAGCAGCCATGTCCATCATCTTCTGCCCACTGGCTTTTCTTTCTGGAAGCAAGAGGCACCGGAGACAGACCCCGGAGAATTACGGGGTGCTCCCTTGCCTCCTCTAGGGGGTGCTGAGGTTTGCACTGCAGGAGTGCCCAGAGTCTTGTTCCTCACTAAACCGCAACAATGGAAAGCATTACGGGAGGGAAACAGTTCTTCCCTTTTGAAATACTAGGAAGTAATGAAAAACAGCCGCTTTGCGGCAGGAGACGCAGCACTCCAGTTCCATGCTTAAAAAGATCTGCTCACAACTCAGGAAGGAGCAGAGACTGCAAAGCATCTGAGGAGGAAAGACAAGGAAATGGAACTGGAGGTATAGATTTATTTTGCATGCCTTTATGCGCTTCATGGCAAAATGGGCTCAGTAAACAGATATCCTGATTTGGGATGGTTATGAGTCCTGGGAACTAAATGGAACGTCCCTGTGTGGAGGGCAGGCTACCACTGAATCCCAGCCGACAACAGCACAGGACCGGGCCGGCCGTCAATACTTGCTCCAGAGGAACACATTTAGGTGCCATCACGTTTCTTCTTCTTCTTCTTCTTTTTGAAAAGGAGGTGCCGGATCTCTCAAGAGGGAAATGAAGTTTTCAATCTGCATACTGAAAACTCACGAACTTTCAAACATTTTAAAGATAATTTTGTCAAAGTGGTCCTGGAACTCTGTTTTGGTGCGGTCCCCCGGGGAAAAAAAAACCCCTGGATCTAAGAAATCCCACTGACCGCTGGGGAACCAGCACAGGTATCCTGGCTCCCTCCCACCCCTCTTTCCAAATCTTAAGAGCACATCACTTTCAGATTACTCCAGAGCAGAGAGGACCACAAGGCCCCTGGACAACTTTCTCTGCGATGCAGAAGGAAAAGAAGCGTGTCACACAGGGAAGAGAAAAGCTGCAACTCCCCCTTCTCTGCAATGCTTCCAAGCACCAGAGCCCAGACTGGCCTCCTTTGCACCTGGGCCCCTCCCCGGATGTCTCTTGCCCCTCTTCCATCTGACAAAAAAAGACCCCCTTGCACCAGAGGATAAACGCACGGCAGACTGAAAGGACATCTCCGCTGCCTGATTCCCCCAGAAAAGGAGTGCTGGGAAGCACCTTCCAGAATGCAGAGACTCCATATTCTGGCTGCAAAGGCAGCCCAGCCCAGCCAGACTTCTCCATGAGAACGGTCAGAATTGTACTGAGGGTTAGTTGACACCAGGAGATGCCCAAAGCCCAGGCACTCCAGCAGAGGGCAGCAGTGAGGCAGAACTCAGCACCTGCTGAGGGAGAGGCCTACGGGTTCAGCCCCCCCCCTCCCAGCACCCTGGGGGCCTGGATTCCTGGCATTCCACTGGCACACAGAATGCACACATGGGAAGCAGGGCACTGGCCAGCAGGCACATGAAGCGGCCTCCTACTGAAACAGACCCCCCTGGGTCCATCAAGGGCAGTATTGCCTACCCAGACTGGCAGCAGCTCTCCAGGGTCTCAGTCAGAGAAAGATCTTTCACATCACCTGTGGTCTGATCCTTCTAACTGGAGATGCTGGGGACTGAACCTGGGGCCTTCTGGGTGCAAAACAGATGCTCTTCCACTGAGCCATGTGTGATTTTGGACCACCTTACAACACAAGGAGGGCAAGGAGTCCCTGGGAAGCTGCTCTCCAGAGGAACGCAAAGCGCCCTGGCCTCCTCCTGCTCACCCCAGTGGAACCTCATCTTTTCTCTAAGTGCACTAGTTCCAATTGTGTTCTGGACCCTTCCTGGAAAAAAACTAAGTCTATTTTACCACCACAACAACCTTGAGAGGTAGGCTAAGCTGAGAGAGAGAGAGAGAGAGAGGGAGAGCGGCTCCGTCCAAAGTTCCAGCCGCAGCCCATGTCATACACCACACTGGCTGTGCACGGGAAGCCCACCCAAACTGTGAAGGGGGGGGTAACAGGCCCCCACAACGCATCTCATTGGGGGGGGGCACTGCATTCTGCCCCAGCCCAGAGCTCCCGAAGACCCTTCCGGGGCCACTCCAGGCTGGGTGCACAGCCAGCCATCAAGTCTTGATTGGACGAAGGCACAAACGAGAGGCCAATTCCCACCCCACTATTTGTGGCAGCCACTCTTCTTGTGGGATTCTGTAGCCACGCACACCCTCTCCCTTACTGGAGTGCCACCCCCCCCTCCCCACGGATCATGCTTGCACAGCCAGTGATTGATCTCACTGTTGGAACCATTGTGGTGCTAAAATGGTACTTCGGCAGGCCTCCATTGAGAGGCGAAGGTTGAATTGTGCAGGGAGCCACATGTGATTGGCTTGAGGAGGTCTGAGACAGATGAGGCCGTTTGTTCTGGCTCCTTTCCTCGTCAGGCCTTTTTCCTCCTCACCTAAGCTTGTGTTCTCATTGCAGCCTTTCCCCTCCTCACATGTCCCTCAAAACATCCTGGATCTCAAGAGCGGCTCCGTCCAAAGTGCCAGCCGCGGGCCATGTCATACTGTCCGTCTTCTTGCAAGGCAAAGCAAGCTCAGGGTTCCCTTGTGGTTGTTGGACCGAGGGGCTCGGGGCGGGGGAAGAAAGGGGGGGTCTCACACTTGTGAAATGCAGCCCCCTACATGAAGGTGTGGGGGGGGGGCTGTCCGGAGAGCAGCGTCAGCCACCCACTGTCCTCCTGCAAAGGTTTCGTTTATTTCCTTTATTTATCTGTTTTATTTATACCCTGCCTTTCTCCCCACACAAAGAGGTTGATGCTGTTCTCCTCTCCACCACTTTAATCTTCATAGCCACCCTGTGAGGTTGGTTAGGCTGAGAGTGGGTGACTGGCCCAAAGTCACCCAGCAATCTTCCACTGCAAAGTGGAGATTCAAACCCGAGTTTCCCAGATCCTAGACCAACACGTTAACTGCAATACCAAGAGCCCTCTACGGGGCCCAGTGGTCTTGACAACAGGCAGGGCTTTTTTTGTAGAAAAAGTGCAGCAGGAGCTCATTAGCATAATAGGCCACACCCAACAGCAGGAACTCACTAGCCTATTAGGCCACACCCCGTGCCTTCCCTTGGCTTGCCCAGGCGCCCCACTTTTTTTGGCCCGGGGAAACCCAGCCCTTGGACAGACCGGGGAAGGCACGGGGAGGCATTCAAATGCCTCCCCAATCCTTCCAGCCCCCCCCCGGCTGGCCCGCCTCGGAGTCGCCGGGGGGGTGGGGTCGCTCTCCAGGCCTTCCCTCCGTAGCCACGCATGCAGAGGTTTTGGCTGTAGTGGACGTGGCCAACTCTGAAGCCAGCCGGAACTCCGTTCCTGTGCGTTCCTGCCCCAAAACAGCCCTGACAACAGGAAATCCAGTCCCGGATACAAGGCAGGTGGGTAGGTACAGAGAACACCCTCCCCAGCTCACCTGCTAGTTCCCCAGAACACTCTTGCTGACTGCCCAGCAGGCAGGCTCACTGAGCACCTCAAGCGCAACGCTGAGAAAGCCAGCATTCCCTCCAAGTCCTGTCACTCTGCCCAGGTCAAAGGCCTCTTCCAGCCATAACCAGATCTGGCTGAGAGAGGCTTGCTGGTGCACTCGGACCAGCCCCAGGATGTCCTGCCAGGCCCCCCTCCAGAGGTTGCTGGGTGAGGTGATCTCCTGCCCTGCTCCAGGCCTCAGGGCTGCATTCCCCTCCCTCAGCCCAGGGCTCAGACCGGCCCTGCTGCCTCAGGCGAGAGAGAGCCGCCTCATGAAGCAGTGTGTTTCCAGAGGTCAGTCCAAGCAAGGCAGGCAGGCAGGCCTCGTTTGCCCTGGTGCCTGGTACTCAGGGGTACACTGCCATAACACCTGGAAGTTCCACTTCACAGCCATAGCCAATCGTTGCTGACAGACTGATCATCCTTATTTTGTCTAATTATTTTTCAAATTGTCTAAGGAGCAGCCAGCAGAAGCCGTGTTGGCATTTGTTTCCTTACCGAGTTTGGAGTCAGGCCCATGTTTGCTTCGATGTACGTCTCCGTCTTTGGCTCCACTGCCAGCTCGGCTTCTAAAATCTTCTCCACAGGCATGTCCTCATTTGCATTGCTCGTTGACTCGACCTCGTTCTCGTTGCGGTCTTTCCCCCGCTGCCTCTCTTCCTGCACCGCTGGAATGCAAGCAGAGGGCAAAGACAGAGAGGAAAATCAGTCTGTGGCTCTCAACACGGAGTGGAGTCTGTTGGAGAGAGATTTGGGGACCCTTCAGATTTCCCAGCCTTGAGACAGCACCAAGGCCTGCAACTGTGCAGAGAGACCAGGAGAGGAGCAGGGGTGTGTCTGCCCAGGCAGGGCCTGTGGGAAGCCACGTTCTGCTCACACAGCCTCTGGGCAGGGGCAGCGAACAGACACGGGGAGCTGGGAGAAGTGCTGGCAGCTGGTTCACGAAAATCATGTTGAACGATTAAATCAGGTTCCCTTTCCAGCTTGGAACACTTTGGCCTTTCCCCGGCTCTGTAGACGGGAAGACAGATGCTGAGGGGCTGGGCAGGTCCCTGAGGGCAGGCGGCCATGGCGAGGGGCTTCCGTGGGTCCTGAGCCTGCAGCCCACGGACTGAAGCCCAGTCAGCCACGTGGGGCGGGGGAGGAGAGAAAACCCAGTGGGACCCTTTCCCCAGATTTCCTCAGTCGCTCACACAGAAGGCCAGTCGAGGGAAAGCCCAACGGAGACCTTCCCCCGGTGCAGAAATCTTAGTTACGGTGCTGGTATCTCAGCTGGAAAGCAGCCCCCCCCCCCTACAATTCTTTCTCTTTTCCTGTTTTCACCATCACAACCCAGGCTGGCGTTTTGGTATGGGGACTAACTAGTCTCGCAAGTGTGTCGAAATGTCTCGGACATAGTTCAAGATCACAACTCTCCAGACGCTTGACACCGTTTCTGCAGCCTTCTAGAGCGTGACCTGGGACGGAGCTGCAGCCCCAGGTCTTCAGACGGCCACAGCCTCCACTGCCACCTCAGAGGGATTGTGTGGACTGGCCACAAAGCCTGTGGGACACAGCAGGACACAATGCCCCTCTCTGGCCCACAAGCTGGTGAAGAGAACGTGTGTGTGTGTCTGTCTGTGATAGGGCAAACATGCACATGGAGCTGAACGTTCCAGAAGCCTACCGAGATGGCAGCCAACCAAAGTAGGACCAAATTGCTCACAAACGCTCCTCTCCCCCCTTCCTTGAAAAAAGAGAGAGAGACAGTTCTCCTGGAGGAAACCACGACCATTGCCCAATTGTTATGGGGGGAATCTGTGTCAGGAGGGAGACGAGAGAAAAGAGAAGCCTATCCAAAAGCACTGGTTTCCTAATTGTTGGAAGAGAAATTCTAGACCTTTCCCAAAAAAGACTGTCAGCCTCTGAGACCCCCAGGGTAAGATTAAAATGCCCACAGCCAGGGAGGGAACGAGCTACGGGTGGAGGAGAAAGTCAGGCCTCAGAGTCCAATAGGGAAAACCTGAAAACAATGGACTTAAATGACTAAATTAAAGTTTCTTATAACGTAAAGGAAGGCCTGGCGTGATCTGGTCCATGGGGCCACGAAGAGTCGGACCCGACTGTGCGACTGGACAACAACAACAACAAAACTCTCCAGATGCTTGCCACCGTTTCTGCAGCCTTCTAGAGCGTGACCTGGGACGGAGCTGCAGCCCCAGGTCTTCAGACGGCCACAGCCTCCACTGCCACCTCAGAGGGATTGTGTGGACTGGCCACAAAGCCTGTGGGACACAGCAGGACACAATGCCCCTCTCTGGCCCACAAGCTGGTGAAGAGAACGTGTGTGTGTGTCTGTCTGTGATAGGGCAAACATGCACATGGAGCTGAACGTTCCAGAAGCCTACCGAGATGGCAGCCAACCAAAGTAGGACCAAATTGCTCACAAACGCTCCTCTCCCCCCTTCCTTGAAAAAAGAGAGAGAGACAGTTCTCCTGGAGGAAACCACGACCATTGCCCAATTGTTATGGGGGGAATCTGTGTCAGGAGGGAGACGAGAGAAAAGAGAAGCCTATCCAAAAGCACTGGTTTCCTAATTGTTGGAAGAGAAATTCTAGACCTTTCCCCAAAAAGACTGTCAGCCTCTGAGCCCCCCAGGGTAAGATTAAGATGCTACGAATGGCGAAGAAAGGCAGGAGGGGACGAGCTATGGATGGCGAAGAAAGTCAGGCCTCAGAGGCCAATAGGGAAAACCTGAAAACAATGGACTTAAACGACTAAATTAAAGTTTCTTATAACGTAAAGGAAGGCCTGGCGTGATCTGGTCCATGGGGCCACGAAGAGTCGGACCCGACTGTGCGACTGGAACAACAACAACAAAAATAATGTATTAATTAACGTATTAACACTTTTGTTAAAAATAATAATAATGCCAAGTGCTCTTTAATCGTCCCTGCAATGTGTACTTACTGTTCCAAAGAGTGGGCCATGATACTAGGTTTCTCTGGCACACAAATTAGGTGGAACATTTCTGCATGTCTTGCCTAAATTTTCATAAGGAGAAAAGGTAAACAGCTACTTTTGTCAAAGGGAAGCTGGGAAGGATCCTTGCATATTTCTGAAGGTGCACCCACCTATCGAACAACTGTGGTCCTGCTCCGGGGTGGGGGGGCAGGGGTCCTCAGAAGCCAGACTGCAGCTCCTAAGTGAGATGATCCGTCATCCCACCATGACCAGCCAGCCCCTGGAACAATGGAGCTGCCCAGAATCACTGGCTGATACCGTGGGGGGGGGGGGGGATGGGGCGACATACAAGGCCAGGTCAGCCCTTTGCATGAACCAAAAATGCCTCAGAATGGTGTGCAGGCTGTTGGGCCCTCAGCTGGGAAGCCAGGGTGGAAAGAAATCCCTGAAGGCTCCAGGAACACGTTCTCAAAGTATAAAAGCAAACCAACTAGAAGAGATTTGGAGGAACTGAAATCTGTATACAGAAATCCACTTGGAGTCCAGATTCTGAGTTCTGCAGGATTTAAGGATCTGAGTCCTAAAGAGCAGAGGTGTATCTGTGTCTACAAAGGCCTTTGGGCTGCAGGAGCTGGGGCAGCAGGGGAAAAAGAGAATGCCCAAAGTCTGTGATGGTTTTCAGCCCAATATTCCTCTGCCTTCCCCTCCAACAGCTGCATGGTATCATAAACTCTTTTTCTGCTACTCAATCATAGAGAAATCTTAACCAAGTTAGGTGTGTGTGATTTGGTAGAAACTTACTTTTCTCTAAAGCAGCCCTAATTTACATTTCCAGATTTTGCATGAGAAAATACACAACAACCAAAAAACCCCAAACTTTGGGACTGAAAAAGTTCAGGAAACGTTTTTTTGTTGTCAGGTTATTTTGTTTTGTTTTGTTTTTTTAAAAAAATGCTCCTTCCTGGATGGGTGGAGGGGCAGCCTGCATGCTCCCCTCCCAGAGCCACCCGCCAAGCGGCTGTGAGGTCCGGGAACCTTCGTGAACATTCTAGCGGTCAAGGGGGACGGGCCAGTCACAGGGTGATAAAATCAGTGAGTGCTGCATCACTTTAGTTTGATGAAAAACCTCACACAGGCCTGGGGACAATATTGTGTCTGCGCATAAGGGGGGGGGGGAGGCCTGGATTTGACATAAGTAAAAATAACCACACATTTCTTCCATTTCGTATCTCTACCTTGTGCTCTGAAATATGCCCATACGACAGAGGAAGATTATACCCGCGGCCTCAGAGAACTTTGCCCCATCCACAAGAAGATTCATATTAGAGCTGAGTCAAATAATCTCTCATTTAGGCTTCTGTTTTGAAAGCAGCACAGAGCCCCCCTCCCCAATGCTATCCTTGCCAAACGATCGAGTTGTTCTGATGCTGTCTGCCTCTCCTCCCCTCCCCCCCCCAACTTCTTGGGGTGCTCTCGCTGCTGGGCGCCACATCGCCCGTTCTTCAATCTGATTAGCTGCAACGGTTTATGCTCTGAGCACTGGTGATATCATCACACAAAGATGTTGCACGATGTCAACACGGACAAAACCACAAGGACTGCCGACAGCTCATAAGATGGAAGGCGGCCGAGAACCGCGAGGGCAAGAGAAGAAAAGGCTGCTGGCCCCACTCCTGACCTCCAAGCAGTGGATTTGCCGCTGCAGTTTAGGCGTGTGCAGCCCCCACTTTCAGAAAGGCATTTAAAGGGTCTTTTAAAATGATTTTTGAGGAGCAGAGGCCTTGCGCGCCTGAACTCAGAGGGGTGAATTTGCCACTTGGGATTCAGGTGCGTCCCCAATGTGATCTGTGTGACATCACTGCATAGAGGACATCCCTGTCCCCTCCAGGACCCCCCCCCCAAAGTCCCCTGCTGGGGCGGAGGAAGGGCCTGGCAACCTGACCTGGAATGGCCTGGCCTCCGGCTCGCCAGCAAGCAGGCACCAGGAGGTCTCCTCTAGGGTGCGCTTCCTCACCGAGGCTTTGCTTTGCATTGCCCCCACCCAAACTGCAAGTTTTGGGGTTGGGGGCTTCTGACTGACACGCTCACATAGTTGCCTGCCTTCCAGGCTCTCTGCCTGTTTTCTCTCTCTGCTTCTGCGCCTCTTCTCTTCTCAGCAGTAGATGTGCCATTATTACAGTGCCCTCGCACTCCAGTGGGATACTTGCAACCACTTTTCTAAAACGCCAGCAAAAAGCACTCTGATGAGGGGGAGGGGGAGGAACGGGGGGGGGGATGAGAGGACAGCATGGAGAGCCCCCCTCCCCCTTTCTGGAGCGTTCGTGTTCAGCAGCAGTGACAGCCCCCCTCCCACGGGCAGCCTGACTCCCAGGGTTTGGCCCTGGCTCTGCCCTGCCAGACTCCCACTTGTGTAGCCCTTGAGGCCGACTCCTTGGCTCAAACATCTCGCTGCTGAAAGCCTGCAGAGATCCACAAGGCTTGCTTCTCCCCTGACCTGGCACAGATGCCCCACCAGTATCCTGCCTGCGATCCAGAAGAGACCGAGACCCAGCGTCCCTCAGTGCTAGCTGACAACAGCCCTGAACAGCCAGTCCCCTGGGAGAGGGCACACCCCTGTCCTCACCCACCCACCCCCCAGAGCTGCTCCCATCATCAGGGGTGAGGGCTCCTGGATGGGCTCACACGCCTCACAGCCCCAGGCCCCAAAGGGGAGGGGGGAGGAGCCGCCAGGCAGGCCGGAGGCCTTTGAAAGAGCAGGAGTGGCTGGAAGAAGAAGAAGAAGAAGAAGAAGAAGAAGAAGAAGAAGAAGAAGGAGAAGGAGAAGGAGAAGGAGA